AAAAAAAAAAAAACTATATCCCACTCTCATAATCAAGAACCCAAATTAAACAAGAGCAATGAACTCAAAAACTTAAATTTACACCTCAAAATTCTTCCAAAAAAGAGAAAAAAAAAGTGGGACTAATGTTAACCATGAAAAACCTCCATTAATCAAGAATGCCAAAGCCCTTCCCAAATCCCCTTCAACCTACCCGTCGAGACCCTCCTCACAATCTTCTTCGCATCCGACTCGTCTTCCTCCTCCGCCAACCTCTCGACATTCCTCAAATATCCCGACCTCACCATCTTCTTCCTCGCTCGTCCACTACTTCCCGCCAACGAAACCAATATCGACAACAAAAGCTTCTTGTTCCCACCATTTTCCTCCTTCGGGTCGAGCTTCCTCATTAGCACAACAAAATTCTCTTCCTCTCCCTCCACAAATTTCTTCCTATTCTTCGGCACGCTTAGCATGCTCGAAAGAGTCTCCCCTGCAATCTCCCGAACTTCAAACGATTTCGAGTCGAGAAACTTCACGAGCACGGGCATGAAACCCGTTTCCCCCATAACTTTCTTCGCTTCATCCGAAGCCCCACACAGCCAAAACACGGCTTTTAAAGCCGATTCTTGCAGATTAATATCGCGCTCCCCGTGGGTTAGGAAGTAGAGTATGTGATCGATAAACGAGTAGTTTATCAAAACGTTGATCGAGTTTTCGGACGAGAAGCATATGCTCGTGATGCCCTTGAACGCGAGTTCGCGGGTTTTGTTCGAGACGGTTGATTTCGGGTCGAGGATTCTAAGAAGGGCTCGAATTCCTCCCTCACGCGCAATTTTTTCCCGGAGGGGCGAGTCTCGGTAGGCCATTGCTTGAATCAATTCGAGTGAGGCGATTTTCGTGGGCTCATCTTTGGATTTGATGAGCTCGATGAGAGTGGAGATGGCGCCTTCTTCTTCCACTACGAATTTCTTGATTTCATCGACTCCGACCAGATTTTTCAAGATCCGGCAAGAGAGAACCATTAATTCGCTACTGAATTCGGTTTTATTCCTGCAGATTTTCAACAGAGCTGCTACTCCACCGTGAGCGGAGACCGACCAGGCATTGTCTGAATTCTCGGTGACTTTTATCAAACACCTAGCGGCGTTTTCACGGCTAGGCTGATTTCCGGCCTCGAGAACCCTTATCAATGGGGGAACTACTCCGGCGCCAATTAACAGGGGCTTATACCTCCCGAAATCCGAGATCAACGAAGCCGACCTGCAGGCCTCCTCTCGAATTTCAACTTCCCCTGAATCGAGAAGGTTCACGAGGCAATTTACAAATCCGTCAATCTCGACGGCGATTTTAACGTACCTCTCGTCGTCCTGAATAGCCTCGTTGAACGCCGTCAGCGCCTGCTTCTTCATCTCCCTGCACCCAATTTTCAGCCGGGAGAGCAAATCGTTGACGTAGAATTTCATATCGTCTTTGGACGCGGACACGCTCGGCCTCGACACGACAATGGCGTAGCTCTGCGTGAGCAAGCCCGCGGCATAGATGTCGGAGAGGCTCTTCGCGTGGCCGTCGAGCTTCGCCGCAAGAATGTCGATGTCGCTCTGCGTACGGAGCTTCCCGGTGTAGGAGAATTCCAGGCACCGCCGCGCGAGCTCGTCGCAGGCACGGAGCGTGGCTAGAATCGAGTCGACGGCGATCGAGAGGGAGAGATTCTCACCGGAGTCGCAGTTTCCGACGGCGGAGAGGTTGGAGAGGAGCTCTTCGAGCTTGCTCCGAATCGAATTCCATCTTCCGGTGAAGATTCTAATCGAGTGGGTGATGGAAATTAACGAGGAGATGAGGAGAATTGCTTGGTTCAGGGTGGGTTTTCGGTTTTCTTCGCTCATTTTCGGGGTTTTTTTTTGGGGGGGAGGTTGGCTAGCACAAGGGTCTCATTTTCCGGCTACCGGAGTTTGGTTTTCCGGCGAGGGTTAAGGTTATAATGGTTAGATAGAAAGAGAGGATAAATGAGGATCTTATCTGCTGTGGACGAGGTCTGTATAGTGCTTATCTTTCCGCGGGGCTGTAACCGAATTAGCAGTTGGGAACTAATTTACGGAAATGACCTTGTTTGTGTGGGCGGCGCAAGGGTTGGATGTAGGGTTATTTTAGTAATATAGGCAGAATCCGAGTTTGAGATGTTCGGGTCGGTTGGGATGGTGGGACGATTTTGTTGTACGTGTTATAACGTGGGGCAACTGCCTTAGTTTATGAAATATATATTTTATGAAATTAAATATTATTAAATATATTTTATTTATAATATAAAATATTATACTTTTCTTTAATTCGTTTCTAAAGTGTACTTTTTTTTTCTTTTTTTTTTCACAACAATATACATAGTTGACTTTTGACTTGTGAAAAAACGTTGAATTTAAATTAAATGCTAATTCTAATATGATTAAACAATTTTCATTGATTTGGTATGCCTAGCTATGGTAATTGTAAGTGTATATAGATGTGTTGAAAGTATGTCAACTGTTAATGTTTGAATTTCACTTTGAGTAGAAAATTTAACCGTTAGATCAATATGTATATCCATGTTAAGTTTTCTGAATGGCGTAATTTAATGACAAAATCACCGCGTATCCAGTATGGGTAGAGTCGATTTTACCCTAATATATGTTTTGATTTAATTTTTATGCATATTCTATGAAGATAACTAGTGTGCCACCTCTCAAAAAGATGTAAAACTACAAGGAAATAAATAGCTCGCTAAAGTTGCCGCTATTTGAGAAATAGCTTTTTTTGACAGCGTACCGCTATTTGTATTCATGTGCAATTTAGCTGCTAGATCCCGCTAAATCTCCGCTATAGCTACAGTGCCATAAACGTTTTAGCCCGCTATTTAAAACCTTGATAAACTATAATATAAAGTGCTTAAAGTTTTGTATAGTATAGTAATTAGAGGATTGATTTGGGGTCAATTAGCAAATTGAGACAAGGCTATATATGTTAAAAAAAA